TGTTGGGTTTTAAGCACTATAACACTCTTATGGTGCACATGCAACCCTAAATGCTTTGGATCTATGTTTTCACTAATTATACATGCATTTTCTTTTTCCAAAGCATTATCCCTAACTAGCATACAGTTGAAGCTATATAATATAAAACATAGTTTGGATGCTTACCTCTTGAGTAGGGTAAAGTTCTCGACCTTTGAAAGCTTGAGCACCTCAAGTGTGATGCCTCTCTTGGTTCACAAACACCAAAATGAAAGTGGAGGATTTTAGAGAATAATATGCTTGACTCCAAAGAGTGTGTATGTGAGTGTAGCTGATTTTGGCATATGGGGGGCACTATTTATAATGTGGAAAACACTAGGGTTACACTTTGTAAACCCTAATGCTCCATGACTTTTCACATTCTTATGCTCCATGGATTTTAACTCCATGGACTATCCATGGATTATCTTATTGGTTTAGCCCAACCATATAGTCATGGATCATTAGTCCACATTACAAGTATCATTGATTTACATAATCAATCCCCATATATTTAATTAGTCTCTTTTGATCACAAAATTAATTCCAAATTAATTCTTGACCAATACTAATTAAATAATATTAATATATTATACTTGTAATATATTAATAAATCACAAATAACCTTATTCTCAAAAATCTTTCCTATCAAATTGCATTGGTGAAGGAAACCCAAAAAGGGACCATGCTACAATCGGGTCAAGTACATACCAGTAATAGTTATGGGCTTAGACACCAAATCCAACACTTTCCTGTGCTGCCAGCATTTCTTGCTTTCAGGAAATCCCTCTTGTAGTGCCCGGTTTCACCACACCTATAGCAGGTCTGGCCTACTCCAGTTTTGGGGGTCTGGGCATTAGGTTGTGTCGGTGTCTTACAGAAGCAGGTTGTATGCCCCTTCTTGTTGCAGTTTGTGCATTGGATTTCCTGACAAGTCCCGTGGTGGTGGAAGTTGCATTTGTTGCACTTCGGTAGGTTACCAGCATATCGACTGGGAGGTGCTGGAGTAGCAGGAGTAACAGCAGGAATGGTAGCAGCATGAACTACCACTGTTTGATGTTTCTTTGAGGGCTCCTGCGAAGGTTGACCCTTTCTTTTGTTATAGAATTTCTTTTTGTTGCCACTCTCTTTGGGCTGTTCAGGAATGGATGTTACGGAGTCTTGGCGATCTCCGTGATCCACTAGTGTCTGTGCCAGACTCTTGGCATTGTCAAAAGTAAGTGGATTGGCAGCTAGAACATTTCCTTAAGTCGGGGGAGTTAATCCCCAGATATAACTTTCCACCTTCTTACCCTCGGGGGTGACCATCCTGGGACACAGAAGAGCCATGTCACTGAACCTATCAGTGTAAGCAGTGATATCAGAGTCCTTCATTTTCAGACTCCAGAGCTCCTGCTCTAGCTTTTGTATTTCGCCCCTCGGGCAGTATTCCACTAGCATTAATTCTTTCAAATCATCCCAACTCATAGCATTCGCTACTAGGAGAGTCAATGACTTGACTTAGCTATTCCACCAAGTGAGGGCTTTGTCTGTAAAGGTGCATGTTGCAAATTTGACTTTGCTAGCTTCAGGGCACGCACAGATTTCGAATATTGATCCGGTCTTCTCGAACCAATGGGTTAATGCAATGACACCTCCAGTGCCATCAAAGGATTTGGGTTTAGCGTTCGTGAAGTCTTTGTTGGAACACTCCCTTGGGTATCCCTAACTATCTCCGTAGTTATAAGGGTTGGCACCACTACCCGACCCGCTGTTGCCGCTTGCATTGATCTGCGTCATGGCAGCTGCTACGGCGGCGGTCACTGCTGCCTGGAAGATATCAGGGTCGTACTAAGGCGGTGGTGGAGGTGGAGGATTGTTTTCTTCCTGTTGGACTTCTTTGGAGGCATCTTTCTCTATAATTATTTTAAAAGAAAGTAATGATAAGTGCTCTATAGTGGTCATGAGTCAGGCGATAATGAACAAGATATATCTTATCCTGACTGCTACAGTGTTCTATTAAGCGATTTACAGTGGAAGTCTACTAATATAAGTAAACAATCGCCAACTTCATTTATAGCAACACTTGTAAAGAATTTGTATAACGTGACTCACACTGGGTCACTCTATAGTCACCTAGTGTATACGATTTATGTATTACTATAAAGGCCTAAATGTTCTTGTTCTAGTGTTGTAGAATCAGAAAAATACTCCTATAGTATTTTAATTTCATGTTTGGTTCTAAAGTTTCTCTTGTATATAGTGTTGGTAAGTTTTAGACTTGTTGCAACACCACTATCACTCCCAAACACATGTTGGTCGTATCTCAAATAAATATAGTTGATCAGACTATATTTATCCCATATATGATTACATAATTGTCTAGGTTTAACTTTAGTGTCCAACATCTAAATACTTTTGTATAGTTCTTACTGTGATACTGTTTCTAGTATGTATGTATGTTTGTATATTTATTATAAAAATACTTAGATTTTAAAAGTATACTTTTAGTCAGAGCACTTCGGCCCCATTGTTTTTATAGTTGTATATCTTGTAAGGTTTGATATACTTAATTCACTATAAATAAGGCTCTGATACCAATCTCTCACACCCCCAAACCGGAACGGCGGAAACTTTCGGGGGCGTAGGACGTCATGTACAGTATCACAACAATTGCATAATAGTAATCAAAGCAAACACAACCATTACATTGATAAAATATAGTATTTACATCTGTTCAATACAAAGTTTGTATGACATCCAAAAATATATAGCAAAAGTATAAAATACGCGACTCTAAAAGCTCCGTCTTCTCAAAACCCGCGGGTGTACCTGTCTACCGGTTCCCTGAGAATACAAGTGGTTTTGAAAGTGTATCAACATTTAAGTTGGTGAGTTCATAAGTATGTTTTTGTGATGGAAAGCTTGTCTTTGTTCTTTGAAAATGTTATAGTGTACTTCAAGAAAATCCAATATTTTCTTTTGTGAATGAAATGTAGTCTTAGGCCTTAAGACCAAAATGTATGTTTGTTACTGTACTCTGAAATAGTACACTGTACTTTGAAATAGTAATCAGTAGTCTTTTAATGAATAAAACTATATCGTGTATGATCTTGAAATTGTATGTTGTACTAGTGTACTCTGTACTAGAAAGGTAGTGTATTGTAGTAGTGTCTGTAGTAGTGTTTGTATGAAAACCTTATTGTATGGGTGCCTGGAATCCACCAGTTGTAGTGTAAAATAGTATATTGTAGTTTCAATATTTAAAATAAAACCTTTGAAGCAGTGTTAATTGTTGGATTAGATGTCTAAGCCCATAACTATTATTGGTATGTACTCGACCCGAGAGTAACATGGTCCATTTGGGTTGCATGGCATCGGAACAATTGGATAGACAAGTGAGAAAAGGTTATTTATGATTTATATTAATATATTATAAGTTCTAATATATTAATATGAAATCACATTATTTAATTAGTATTGATCAAGAATTAATTTGGAATTAGTTTTGTGATCAAAAGAGACTAATTAAATATATGGGGATTGATTATGTAAATCATTCATTCTTATATATGAGGGCTTGTGATCCATTGTCCTTCATGTTGGGCTTAACCGATGTGGTAACCCATGGATACTCCATGGAGGTTAAAACCCATGGATCATGAAGGAAATGAAAAGTCATGCACATTAGGGTTTACATGGTGTAACCCTAATGAGCCACACTATATAAAGGATCCCATGGTTCATGAAATGGACTATTGAATACACATAGTGAGGGCAAGGGCCGATTTTCATAGGGAGAACCAAGTAGCCTCTTCTCAAGTTATTCCAATTGTTGGCGGTGTTGTGTGATTCCATTTGAGGTGCAACACTTGGGGCACTAAGCTCTTAAAGGTTCAAGACTTCAAGCTCCATCAAAAGGTATGTCATCTAACTAGACTTTTGTAGTATAGATACTCCAGTGTATGCTAGTTAGGATGATGCTTTGGAATTTTGAACGTATGCATGTATAATAGAGAAAACATAGATCCAAAGCACATAGGGTTGCATGTACACCATAGGAGTGTTAGAATGCTCAAAACGCAACAGTGGTATCAGAGCCTAGGCTTGGTTTTCAATTATACTTGATGCAATTGCTGAAAAAATCGAAAAACTGGCTTTCTGGATTATGGACTCGCCGAGTCCACTGGGGGACTCGCCGAGTCCAAGAGTAAAATCATTCTACTCGTCGAGTACACCACAAGAAAAAAGGGTATCAGAGACTGATGTAATCAGTCTCTGATGGTCAATAATCAGTCTTTGATGACAATCGGAGACTGATTTAGCTAGTCCCCAGCCAGTCCCCAAGACCTAGTCTTAGATAGTCGATTTTTTTTATGTATCTGAGACTGAAAATCAGTCCCTAATACATCAAACTATCAAGGACAGAAAATCAATATCTGATAATATCTCATTCAGTCTCTAATTTTTTTTCATCAAATGCTCAATTTGACGTCATATCAGTCCTTGACATTATCTTTTAGGGACTGAATATCAACTCTTAATAATATATTATTCTGTCTCTAATCTTTCATTGACATCTCTATTTTAAGTCATATTAGTCTGTGATACTATATTTCAAAGACTAATATTAGTCTTTGATACTATCATGTTTAGTCTTGAACATCTTTCCTTAAAACTATCATTCTAGGACTAGATATCAGTCTTCCAAACTAGGGATGAGCATAACCGGATACCCCTCTATTTTAGTTGAACCAAAACCGCACCCAGAACCGACAGTTATGAAATTATTGGTATTGGAACCAGAACCACTTACACCGGTTCCTAGAAATTTGGAACCACACCCGGAAACGCCAAGACCGGAACAGTTCCAGGTACCCGGTTTTTTGAATATTATATTTTTTTATTTTATACATGCCATTGAAATTAACTTTTATAAGGAATAAGAATTCAAGATATAAACTAAAACAATTAAAAAAAACTTGATCTCAAAACAACAAAACTGCAACAAATTGAATTTAACATGTCAACAACAAACTACAAAACAACTAAACATAAACAGTCTCAAAACAGCAAAAAAAAGTAATAGCAAAACAACATGAAAGAACAATAGCGAAACAACAAAATTGCAACAACAGCATTATCGAACTCTGCAATCACAAAACCAGTCAAATTAGCAAGCTAATCAATCATATAACTTCAGGAAGAAAACAAAAAATATTTGATTAAAACAATGAACTTACAGATCTTGTTGAAGACAACAATATCATAGCTCTGAACAAACTCATTAATGGGTTCCTCACAAAGTCTTTCTTCAATAAGACTATCAACAAATCAAGGGACACCAAATAACAGGCACATCTACCAAAGGCTCCAATAATTCCAGACCATGCTTCAAAGTTAGTAACATGTACTCTGACCCTGACCCTGACGTTTCATTCATGGCCATTGAAAGGTCTTGGTCACCAACTCCATGGTCTACATGAAGATTGGTAGCTCCTTCACCAGCTTCGGTTAGAGGGGAACCAACTACATGTGTAGCAAATTCATTCACCTGAAAAAAAAACAAAGAAACAAAAAAAAAACAACTCCAGATGGCTTAAGGAAGCATTGTGACTAAAATTTAAACAAAAAAAATAGAATAATACCTCGCACATACTTGTTCAGATCAAGATCACATTTTGAATAGAATTGATTTAAGTACCTTCATGACCAAGCCTTTGGAGAAACCACTTGCTATGAATCCATTGATGTAAGAGAAAGTTAATTTCTTTTATCAGTTTATGTAATGAACAAGGAAGTGCAGCAAAGGAGACTTACATGTAAGGTCCTACAATCAAAAAACTGGTGAATTTTTAATTTAGACAATCTCAAGTGTTCTTGAAGAAGGTTTGAAGATAATGACATCAAGTTAACTGCGGTTCTCATATTGATCCATAATCTTTCAGAGTATTGAAATAGAGACAAATGTCTTCAACTAGCACCGGTCCTTTCACCTACTCACATACACACATTCTGAATCAGCAAAATGTAACTCTAGAAGAACATCAATGGAGATTACAGATTACGATTGTGTACATGGTTAGCGGCCAAACAAGCTTCCTCTTTTGTGATATCCTCAGGATTGTCGTGCACATATTTACAACAATAAACTTCACATATTTACAAAAATTATGATTTTCAGAATCATGATTTTCATAATTAAACTTCACATATTTACAAAAATCGAGATTATGAAGCTGACCTGATAAAGACATAAAGACTTGTAGAGTTCTCGGTTTTAGAATCGTAGTTGCAGAGTCGATTTAGCAGGGATGGTGAACGATTGAACAGAGATAACCGACTGTAAGAGACAACCTGCGATTGAGCGTAAGATACAACAGCTAGAGATGACCGTCGAATGGAACTCGACCTACTTCTAAGCTCTAATCGATATCTTTGGTTAACTGCTAATGTGAGGAACAACTGGTCTGTAACGAGAAGAAGAGACGGTTGTGGGCAGAGACGGTTGTGAATAGAGGTGCCGACCTAGATCAAAGAAGTGGTGGTGGCGACATAGAGCGAAGTTCATTGAGGGCAACTGCAACGTGGAGAGAGAGGATCTACGACGGTGGCATGGATCGTGGGTGCAGCAGCGATGAATAGAGGGTTTGTAGTCGTTAGGGCTTATAGGTTTGTTTGGTTAGGCATGACTGCCATCTGCGGGTGTTGTGAAAATATAATTAATTAACCCTAGACAACAAAGATAAATCCGTGAGAGGGGAGTGGGAGAATAGGAGGGAATTGAAAATAAAAGTCTCTTGAAATGAAGGTTTTGGGGGGAAACGTGGAGGGAAATAAAAAAAATGAAAATATGTAATAAATGTAATAAACATAGCTTGCAAATTATTTAAACATAAAAAAATAATTATATGTAATGAAATATTTTAAAATTTAGGATGATAAGTGTCTTTCCAAACATTATCCGGGAAATATTCATCACTCTAATTTTTGGTATCAAGAACTCATTGATCACTATCAAATACTCCAATCCGGTCATTGATAAGTGTCCCTATAAATCTAAATTGAGGCATATCGATCAGAGACTGAAATTCAGTCCCCAATAAATATCCTTCTAACTAGTATTTGTGATTATTTCCCCACTTGATACATGGTATTCATGACTTGTTAATTAGGCTCAAATAAAAAAACTTTAGTCCATGATAAGTGTCCATTTAAATGTAAAGTAATACATACCTATTAGATACTGAAATTTAGTCTCTAATAAGTATCCTTCTAAAATCATAATTGGTGCAAATCTATCAGAAACTAAAACTCAGTCTTTAATAAGTTTCTTTATAAATGAAAACCACTGCAAATCTATCAAGGACTAAAATTCAGTCCCTAAGAGGTTTCTCTCCAAAGTAAAAAACTGAATATGTATATCAAAGATTGATATTCGGTCCCTAATAAGATACCCTCCAAATGTAATTTGGTACAAATATATAAGGGACTGAATTTCAGTCTCTAATAGGTTTGTTCAGTCTCTAATGATTCACACATTGAAATTAGTGCCCAATAGTATCAAGGGCTAATTAATCAGTCCTAAATACATGGTATCTGAGACTGATTAATCAGTCTCTAAATTTTTAGTCACATATGCCCATTTTTCTTGTAGTGGTAGGTTCATACACTCGGCGAGTAGGAGGCCCAGAGTGCAGATTTTCGACTTTTAAGGCTAGAATTGGACTAGAATCATTACCCTAAGCTGTTTTTGAACTTATAAACTTGTTTTTAATGTGGTAATGATCATTTTAATCCAATTCAAAAGATAATTGTCAAAACTTTCATGTTTTGTATTAGTTTAATGGTTAGGCTAATTACATGTTTTGTATTAGTTTTGATCAACAAAGCTCAGATGAAAACTCTGTACGAAATTCTATAGGGTCACAAGCCATCTGTCAGCCATTTCCGCGTATTTGGTTGCCCTTGTACCCTTCTTCACCTGGAGTCCAACCCGAAGTTTAATGCCAAAGCTGATGACTGCTATTTTGTGGGGTATGCTGCTCGCACTGCGTATAGGGTCTACAACAAAAGAACAAAGAAAATTGTAGAATCCTTCGATGTGCGCTGGCTGGAGGAGAATGAAACGGATGCTAGAGTGGGTCATGATTGGCTGTTTGATTACACATCTTTGTTCAAGCCGTTCAATATGTGTTCAGATAGTTTATTTGGTTCTACTTCTGGTTCGAAGATTGTACCTGAAGATGAAGACGAAGAAGTTGTTTACAGACCGCCGATAGTGACTTCTGCAATTCCTACGGTGGATTCATCTGTTCCAATTACTTGTCCAGAATCTCTAAGTCATCAACAAGATCCGGATGCTGATGTCACTCCTCTTACTCCTGATGAAAGAGAGTTCATGTCCCGAGATTCTTCCGCTGTTACTCAATCTTTTATGGAACTTCTCTTTCCTGAGCAAATTGCAAATGAGTTTGTGGCAGATCCTACTAATGAGACAGGTTCATCTGAAGTGGATCATTCGGCAAATGAAGGAGTTATCAACATTCATAATCTTCTTGTTTCACTCAATGACATCAGCCATGAGATACCTTCCCGAATTCAACGCGATCATCCGATCGATAATGTCATTGGCCAGCTGGGTGATGGTGTTAGAACAAGAAGCCAGAGTGGAGATGTTAATACATGTCTCTATTCTTGCTTTATCTCTCAAATAGAGCCAAAGAATGTTGAAATGGCTTTGAATGAGCCCAGCTGGGTAGATGCTATGCACGAAGAATTAAATCAATTTGAAAAACTTGGGGTTTGGACGCTGGTTGAACTTCCTAAGGGCAAAAAGTCTCTTGACACACGCTGGGTATACCGCAATAAGCAGGATGATTCCGGAGTCATAGTGCGCAATAAGGCGAGATTGGTGGTTCGTGGGTTTAGACAGATCGAGGGTCTTGGCTACACCGAGGTTTATGCTCGGGTAGCTCGCTTGGAGGCTATCTGTATCTTCCTTGCATATGCTTCCTTCATGAACTTCACTGTTTATTAGATGGATGTCAACACAGCCTTCTTGTATGGAAAAGTGAAGGAAGAAATCTACGTTGATCAACCCCCTGGGTTTGTTAACTCGAAGTTTCCCAATCATGTCTACAAGTTGAACAAGGCGTTGTATGGGTTACATCAAGCTCCTCGAGCGTGGTATGCAACTCTCACAAAGCACTTGTTCGAACATGGATATTCTCGCGGCACTATCGATCAAATTTTGTTCATCAAGCATGTGGGTAATGATCAGATTCTAGTTCAGATTTATGTTGACGACATTATCTTCGGGTCTACAAGTCCACAGCTTTGCAAAGAGTTCGAAGGAGTGATGAAAAAGAGGTTCGAAATGAGCTCGTTAGGCGAAATGACCATGTTTTTGGGGCTTCAGGTCCAACAAAGATCAACCGGAATCCTGATCCATGAAGCAAAGTATGTGGTCGATATACTTGAGAAGTTCGGGTTTCAAGACGCAAAACCTGCTTTGACGCCAATGGCCGAAAAACCTTTGCTGACTCCAGATACTGATGGCGAATCCGTAGATCAAACTCACTACAGATCAATGATCGGTTCGTTGATGTATCTAACTGCAAGCCGACCAGACATCATGTTTGCAGTTTGTCAATGTGCACGTTATCAGGCTAATCCTAAACTTTCACATCTTATTGCTGTCAAAAGAATCTTTCGGTACCTCAAAGGCAGCCCAAAATTGGGTCTTTGGTATCCGAAAAATTCTGAATTTGATTTATATGCATTTGCTGACAGTAATTATGGAGGCTGTGAGCTTGACAGGAAATCTACGTCCGGAGGGTGTCAATTCCTTGGTGACCAACTAGTGTCTTGGCAGTGCAAGAAACAGCACACCGTCTCAACCTCAACAGCAGAAGCGGAATATGTTGCTGGCTCTGCTTGTTGCTCTCAAGTTATAAGGATCCAACATCAGCTGTTGGATTACGGTTTGAATTATTTAGAAACCCCTATATTTTGTGATAATGAGGCCGCAATTCAGATTGCTAAAAATCCAGTCCAACATTCAAAAACCAAGCACATTGACATAAAAATTCATTTCATCAGAGATTGTTATGAGCGTTCGCTCATTCGGCTGGGACAGGTTCCTACTGCTAATAATGTAGTGGATCTGTTCACAATGCCGTTTAACAAAGCTCGATTCGATGTGCTTGTGAGTTTTCTGAAAATGCTACGTTTTGAGGACTAGTTTTTGCTTTAGGTTAGTTTAAATTTGCGCAGTTTAATTTCATTCTCACCCATGCACAAATTTAGGGGGAGAAATAAACAAAAACCAAACAAAAATTAGAAAATTAAAAATCCAAAAATAGTGTTATTTCTGTTTTATTTTTTTTCAGAAAATATTCCAAAAACATTAGAAAATCAAAAAATCAAAAATATGTTGTTAATAATTTTTGTTTGTAGGTGATGTGTTGGGAAGTGATATAATTATGTGATAACAGACAATCTGAATCTGTGTAAGGTGCCAAAGTAGAATTGTCTAAGCTCTGTGTTCGATGCGCCGGTAGGCACGAAAGTTTTTAAAATGGACTTAACTAGGATCAGATGAACTTAAGGAATCTATTGACCTGACAAATCTTGACCTAGATAGTTCAATTTGGCCTGACAATACGACGCTTGGGTAGGTTGAGCAAAGAGATATACATGAAAATTTGCGGATACATTAAATGATCTGTATCTAGAACTGTGGATTAACTTTTCCTCGATGTGCGGACTTTGTCCTTAATTCCGGTATTGACGGGGCAACTGGGGAATTCCGATAAATTATGTCTGTAGAAAATTATTTTCTTTCTTTCTCTCTGTTAGTCATATGTTGCTTCCTCTGCTGATTGGAAGAGATCCGACCTGGAATGCAACATATGCAACTCTATCTCTCTGCATCTTCTTCAATGCTATTCTTCCTACCTGTTAGTCATATGTTGTCTCCTTTGCGTGATTAAAAATCCGACCTGGTTCACAGCATATGCAACCTTCTACTTTTGAATCCCTCTAAACTCTAGTTAGTCATACGTTTCACTCTCTACGTGATTGGAAGAGATCCGACCTGAGTGTACAACATATGCATTCTAAATCCGACTTCTTCTTTAATAATTGTCTGGTCATCTGAAGTAAGGAGTATTCTGGAAGACCTTGATTATTGGGGTATATCAAGAAGCAGGAAACACGTTCTAATACAATTAAAATTGAACATTTTATAGGTTGTCTGTAGATCTCGCTGCTCAATTTAGGTGGACAACAATACCCTTGGTAGTCGTCAATTGAATGGTATTTTAGGATTATTATCTAAGTTCATAGGATCTAATGTTTTGTCATTTATACCGATAAGCGGAGTAAGGCTGTCTAATAACATTGATCCTAGTGTCTCAAAATTATTTTTATTGTTAGTTAAGGTGAAATAAGTTTTATTTCTCTTTAATTTCATCTTTATTTTATTTTTATTTTATTTTATTTTTCTTCTGAGTTTTATTTTTATTTTTATTTTGATAAAAATTTTGATAAAATTTTTAGTTTAGTTTTAGAAATTAGTTTTATTTTTTTTAATTTTATTTTCTTATTTTTGTCCTCAAAATAATTTTATTTTTAATAAAGTTTTGGGATATTGGACTTTATTCTATGCATTGTGGATTGCGGCCCATGGCATTTTG